CTGAGTCTTTTCTTTTTCTTCCACTGTTGTAAATCAATAGCAAAGTGAAAATTAGATTTTATTTGATTATTTTTACCTCCTTTTAGCAGTGTTTGCTAAAGCAACAAGATGTGTGGAATTATTTGGCATGCCCAGCAACTAAGATGGGTCAAGTCTGATTTGTCCACTTTCTGTGAGTCATCCTGGAACAAAGAAACATGGATACAGAGAGAAAAATATTGTTCAGTGTGGATGTCCTCTTGTTTTTATTTAATGTTAGTTGTGCCAGCACTGCCAGCCGTCGGTTCTTCTTGAAGGTAAATGTCAACATGCCTGTGTTGGTTAAGCATTGCTCTGGTCAGATGGTTATTGGCCAGTTTAAGCTGACACGGCCTAAATACAACTTGATTATTATACTGCCAAACTGCGCTGCTCCTGCTGAACGCCATCCATCCACTGTGCTTGTTTACATCCAGGTTACAGAACACAGCGCCAGCTAGTGGCGGACAGCTGTTATCTGATCACAAGTTGTTCACCTTAAATATGTGATTTTTCACACTTAAATGTAATATAAATCAAGTATATCCTCTGAAAATAACTCTGTGAGTCATGACTGTCTACAATGGGTGTAACACCTGAGTCCCACTGTCTGTGATGTTTTCAGAGTCCTATCTTCAGTTTGTTTACATCGCCTGGACGGCCGGCTGACTCCTCCCCTCGCGTATAAAAGTTGTTTAATTGAGGGACTAGAGAAAAGAAGAATAACACACTGTACTCACTGCTTAACTGTGTTTCTAGATCACGCTCATTTCAGGTAAATTTACATGCAGTGTGAAGATACCAGCATAATAAAGATCACTAGCATTAGCATGCTAACACAACAATGCACCGCAAGTTGTTTTGGTTTCATGCTGGTGGTCAAGGGCGATCTTTGATCTGCTGGATCAAAAAATCGTCTATAAAGCCTTTAAGTATAGTTGTAAACTCAATCAGGACACCTTAAAGACATATTGAGTTGAAATCACTCAGGTCATACAATGAAGTCCTCCGGTACACATTTTGCCCACATTCATTTGGTTATGTGCAAATGTGTGCTGGGCCGTATTGACAGACAGCCTGTGTGTGCATATTGTCTGACACACCACAGAACCTTAAAGCAACCTTGGGCTTCATAGAAAGGTCTCTCATGCCCACGCTTCTCTAGTTCCCTGCAAACTCTCTGTTGCATGTCCATGAAAGCTATATTTATGAAAGCCCAAATCAAAGCTCAGTTTGTGATTTTTACATTCTAGACAAGATGATAGAGACTAGGTTTTTCTTTTTTTTTTAAATAGATAACAGGGAAGTGAAAACAATTAAAAATGGTCATAGAGACAATTGTGGAGATGAATATTTCATGCCAGGTTTGCACAGGCATTCTTAAAGCTTTCAACCTGTAATTGGATCACATAGGATGCATGTTAACAGGCATCAAGTTTAAGTAACAGAGTGTCAACAATTTCCACTTCTAAACTGTGTAGTGTTTTTCAACCAAAAATTGCACAGGGGTTGTGGTTGAAAGCCTGAACAGCAAGGGTTCACTTATGCTACCCTATAATCTTCTGACTCTTTATTTTTCACTTTTCAGCGGCCTTAAAATGACAGGCTATTTCTCGGAAAGGCCCGTGAGGAAATTGATTCAGTTACAGTAACTGAATGAGAGGAGAAGAATGTAGATACGGGGTCATATGTCTTTTGAAAGTGGTATTTCGAGCCAGTGGCTGATGGGGTGCCGCATGTCTGCAAGTGGGTCAGGTTTTGTGATGAAAACACCCTCACAGTTTCTTGCATCACTTACCCATGTGAACAGGATGGTTTCCTCACCTGAAGATCAACGGGAGCCTTTCACTGTGTGGATCAAAGGTCTGCGACTACCTCTTCAGATTGACACACATGTTTGTACAAAGAGGAGGAAGCACTTATACGCACAGCTGGAAAGCACTTTATCCAGTCTTTTGAACTCAGGGTTTTTGGTGCAAAACCAAGTCCAGTAAAATCCTAGAGTCTTGTGAAGATATTGTCGAAAGAAACAGATACCGAAAAAATAATATATTTTTCTAGAAATAAAGAATTAAATAGAAAAGAAAATACACAATATTATATACTCTTATGAAAACAAGTTGTTCTTAATTAACTATGCATGCAGCTTTTAGGAGACAGTGCTGCCTCCAACAAGACATTTGATAAAGTTTGTTCACAGAAAACTCAACGACACAAACCAGAAGTGCTACCCTATGTTGATTTTACGCAGTTTGCCACTGACTATGTTTACATGCACACCATATTCCTGTATTAATCGGAATAATGACAATATTCTGATTGCGTAGGAGTCATGTAAACACCTTAATCCAATTGTCATAACCCGATTAAGCTAATTTTCTGATTATTAAAAACCTGAATAAGACACCTGGCATATGCCTGTATCAACCCGAATATTGGGTCATGTAAACACGTTAGTTGGACTATGCTCACGAATATGCTACTTCAAGGATTTGTTTACTTCTGCACATGTTCAACATGGCGAGAAACATGCAAAAGACCTTACACTTTTGGGGCGAGATGGAGACAAATTTACTACTACTACTCGCTCCCACCAGTCCTGGCTGTGAACTTTCATCCATAGTCTCTGCGGGGCTCTGGTTGGTATCCATGGCGTAACGCGTAGAGCTCCGTTTACCATTTCCCCGCATTCTCGTCGGCCGCGGTTGAGGAGGTGAATGAGAACGAGTGTTCCAGTCACACTTTGATGAAGAAGTGATAAGAATATTACACAGTATAGCGCAAAAGCAAGCATCTTGGACTATTTGGTGGAAATGCCAATACAGTGCGTGCAAAAAGAACGCCCCTAGATGACGTCTTGACACTACTACTACTACTACTACGGTTTATTGGGAATATGCTGATAAACATGTAAACGGGAATATTCCAGTAGCACAGTAACCCACCAGATACTGTAATATTGAGCAGGCACATACAGTACAGTAACAGTATGGCAGCTTTCTGTAGTCGTTCCTGCTTCCTTATGCAGCTTTCTTTGATGTAACTTGACCGGCCAACTATTAAATGAAGGATTTATCTGACTTTGATAACTATTGGAAATATTAAAAGTAATGTCAACAACAACAAAAATATTACATATGTTTAGTCTATTTTTAATTAATTGAGATATTTTACTGTAAAGATTCTACATCATTTGAGGCACTGCCATAGAAATTAATCATAAATATCCAAATTGGCTGCTTATAGGACACATATTATAAAGTTATGCATTTGGTCAAGAAATAATTGTACAGACAATAAAAACATCAACAGACTTTAAAGTCTTGATTGGCATTCTTCTGTGGACAGGTAAAGGAAGCCGACCACAGTGTCACCCTTTGTACAACACTTCACACTAATGAGGGACATTCCTCTTACTTTGACATACAGCTGATGAATGAGGGAATTAACACACTTACAGAATGATCCCGATAAACCTCCACAGTCCACAGGTAAAACATTTATAAGCCTCAGAACACAATGGTGTGATTCAGGTCTTCTCGTTAAAAAAAGTTGGGGTGGATTTTGACTGGATACAAGAGAAATTCAACTCAAGGTTTTTCAGTATACATATTCTTTTAAGTACAAATTTAAATAAGAAAAGAGAAAACTAAGAATACAATAACATTAACGTTAAATAGTCACTTTTTAAAAGTAGCTACTGACAAAAAAAGCAGTCCCTGATAAACACAGTGTTAAAAAAATAAAATCAGGTCCCCTTCATCTAATGGATTCTGAGAAAACCCTGTCACCAAAACATCTCAACCTGGATGATCTCAGGTCTCTGACAGCACAAGGATATGAGTTCACTTATAGTCTCTTTATTTATAATTAAAAAGCCTTGGCATGATACTCTGAAGAAACCAGTCATATAATTTAAGGTCTGAGTGACACACAAATCTAAAGAGCTCCAGTAAGGAATATGAAACTATAGTAAAGTGTGTTACACACACACACACACACATGAACAGCTCATGTTCACCTCAAACTCACATGTGCCACTTACCAGATAATTACCATGAAATGAATCTTGAGGGCATCGAAAGCAAGAGAAATGGGTAAATTGAGAAATTGAGAACGTGTTACAGTGTATTTTTTTTCAGGCAGTGTTTTATGTTTAGCTGGCCTGCTCAGGCCCGGACTCTGTCAATCATTCATCCGGGCCAGCAGGCCAGTTATAATGTCGAGCCCTGCATTTGAGCTTCCCAGCATTGTTGTTTGACATTCATCAGTTGGCATTTGAGACCTTGGAGAGTTGAAAAGCCTTTCCTGCTACGGTAACTCTTTTCTTGAATGAGCAGGTACATTATCAATCAGGGACTATTGTCAGATAGTTGGCCTATCTTGGAACAAATTTTTATTTTCTTACAAAAAAAAAAAAGAGAGATGAGCAGCAAAGTCAGAGTCCTGAAAAAAAACAAAACTAGTTTGAACCCTTACAAAGGCTAGAGTTAGAAAAGAACATTTATCACTAATAAGGTTGCAACTTTCAGCAGCTGTCACAAATTTTCCTAGATGAGTTGAATTAAAATATTTTTATGTGTTATAAGACATCTTTATGAACACATTGGTTTGTTCAAAAAGTATATATTGCAAAAGATTTTAGACTTTATCCTTACAATGAAATGCAAGGAAAAGTAGCCAACATCCCCCAGGAGAGAGAAAATATAAAGAAGCTAGCAGAGCTGGCTAACGTGTTTGTGGTTAGCTTGTAAAGTTGATTTAAATGTCTTGACTTGAACGTAAATTTGAGAGTCATCAACATAAAAGTCATTAAACATTGTGTCGATTCAGACCATGATTATGTATAACTGCTCATTTGCTGGTATGTGAATTCCTTCTTGGCATTACATAAAGTTCTACATGTTGACCGTGGCAGATTGAAGGACTAATCAAATGTATTTGATGCGAAGCTCTTATTGCTTTGTCTCTTTGCTCCACAGAGGGATCCCAGGGAAGAAGTGCGGCACTATCATCCTGTCTGCTGAGGAGCTGAGCAATTGTCGAGTGAGTAAGCCGTAATAATCGTCACTGACAAACACACATTAGCTGGCAAACATCTGTCAGCAAAGCCTGCTTACACAGGCTTGGCTCATAAAGTAGATTGAGCTGTATTGATGCTCAGTGTAGGTGTACAGAAGCAGGCGTGGAGAACTTCCTCTAGACTGGCATTAAGCCCACTTTGAGAAAGAATCAGACGGTTTGAAAAGAGCTGACAAAGTCTGTGTTCAGTACAACTGTTCTTTAAAGAAACTATTCACACAGCTGTTCATTTGGAAGCTTCACTTTTTTGGGGGGCTTTTATGTGCATGTATCGCTGATTTCAATAGAGCTCCTTGACAGAAACCCAAGACAGCATCATCAAACATACAAACTATTTACAGATCGCTGTTGCCTTGATGAGGAAAAATATACATAAAATTTGAAACAAAGACAAAATTACTGAATGAAATTATGATATGCATGTACACATATATATGTGTGTATATATATATATATATATATATATATATATATATATATATATATATATATACACACCCATACACTAATATGCACACAAAATTAAACCTATAGACACAGCTCAATAAATAAAACTAAAACAAATAAACAGATAAAAAATAAAATAAAAATAATTCAAGTAAACAATTTCACAAAAAGTGTAAGTTTACGTTTTGTTTATAATACCGGTTATATTTGTTCAAGAAAAAGTGGATCTGAAAGAGTTGAAATAAGGAAATCCCAAGCCTGTAAAGTGGATGCCTGTGCCTTATGAATTGCAGCTAATGATCTTTCAATAAGAGAGATGTCTCTAAAATAGTTAGACCATTCCTTTATCGATGGAGATTCAACAGAGATTAGATTAGATTAGATTCAACTTTATTGTCATTGTGCAGAGTACAAGTACAGAGACAACGAAATGTTTTTGGCATTCTAACCAAAAAAAGTGCAAAAGAGCAACAAGGTGCAGTACAAACATGAATAGGCATAAAGTGCAATATGGTAGTAAGGTAATACGGTAAACTGGTGCAGAGGATACAGATAAGAATGGTATATTATAGAGCAGCCTTGATGGATATAAGACAGTTACGGTATGAACAATATTTACAGTATGGACATTATAAACAATATGCTAATAAATATCAAGTGGAATAGGATATTATATATACAGTCAAGTAGTATAGGAAGTGCAGTGATCAACGTAAAGGCAAGTACAAATGTGCAGTCAAGAATTTAGGAGTATTGTAGTGTCCACGGGGGGTGGTTGAGGAGGAGGAGGGGGTCGGGCAAAGTACACTTGGGTATGGAGTTCAGTAGGGTGACAGCCTGAGGGAAAAACTTCTTCTGAACCTACTGGTCCTGGTGCCGAGAGACCTGTAGCGCTTTCCGGAGGGGAGGTAGGTAAACAGTCTATGGTTGGGATGGGAAATGTCCTTAGCAATGCTGCGCGCCTTATGCAGGCACAGCTTTTTATGGACAGACTCGATGGAGGGGAGTGGGGAACTGATGATCCGTGGGGCAGCTTTCACCACCTTCTGCAGTGCCTTCCGGTCAGAGGCGGAGCAGTTGCCATACCATACAGTGACACAGTTAGTAAGTATGCTCTCGATGGTGCTGCTGTAAAAGTTTGCCAGGATCTGTGGGGACAGGTGAGTCTTTTTTAGTCTCCTCAGGAAGAAGAGGCACTGGTGAGCCTTGATCGTGGAAGAGGTGTTGAAGGACCAGGTGAGGTCCTTGGAGATGTGGACTCCCAGAAACTTAAAGCTGGTGACACGTTCAACCTCGGCTCCGTCGATATGGAGGGGTGTGTGTGTGCCACCTTTAGACTTTCTGAAGTCCACGATGGTCTCTTTGGTCTTCATGGTGTTGAGGGACAGGTGGTTGTCGGCGCACCACACAGCTAGGCGCTGGACCTCGTCTCTGTATGCTGACTCATCGTTGTCGCTGATGAGACCAACCACTGTTGTGTCGTCTGCAAACTTAACAATGGTGTTTGAGCCATGTATGGCTTTGCAGTCGTGAACCAAGAATGTATTATTGTCTTCTTTGCCGCTGTTGAGCTTGCAAAGATAATTTTCCTAAAGGCCAGTCTGGTGTTATCCCTGAGAGCAAAGTCGATTTGTGTCTATTTTAATACTTTATATGGATCATAATAAACATATTGGGATTCATTATCTGACAACATTAATCAACACAAGACAAGTCAAAACGTTACAAAACAGGGGAAAAAAACTAGAGGGACGTCACATTTAATTTTAATCTTTTTTTTAAATCAGGTAAAAATCCCTCACAGGAGATTTAAAGATACAGGACTGAACTATTTCAGAATGATGCACTGTACATAATCACAAAGCCTTAAAGCGAGTCATTTTGAAACAGTTCATACATTGTGTTTAAAACAAATGCTCAGTGATCTTAACAAGCTTGTTTCATCTCCTGTCAATTAAAAAGGTCATTGTGACAAAATGGTCAAGCCACTGAGGTGTGTCTATTTGACCCCAACTTCAGTACCAAGAATAGAAAAGCTTAACTGACCTAACCTGCTCTATTATATACACAATGAAACGTGTGTCAGGTTTGAAAATGCCCGGGTGTAAAAGAGGTAGATTATTACAATTCTACAATTCTACAATTCACTTAGCAGACGCTTTTATCCAAAGCGACATACATCAGAGAGTACAACACAAGCAAGGATCTAGAAAAAAGGGAACAATGTCAGTAAGAGCAAATGATCAGCTTTGAGGACAGTTCTTGAGAGCACTAATCAGTATAGAAACCATCTTATAAGTCATCGTTATCAAACAAAAACCATCGTCATTCCCAACATCATCATCAATAATATGGAGACCATCATCATTAAGTTAGTAGGTATTCATTGGTTAAACAAAGGAGATGAAAGACTAGAGTGAGAAGAAACTGAGGATCTCTGTACCCTGTCCACCAATTACCTTTAGAACCACACACACACACACACACACACTCTTTTAGAGAAATAATTGGTTCTTTCCCTCTGTGGAGCATCCCCCTTGCCTAATGAAATAGCCCAGGAACATAATGGGGTGAGTGCGGTACCATCCCCACAGCTGACACCGTGGTGAAAAGCTGCGGACGCTTCACTGAGCTCCCAGCATGCAGATCAGAGGAGGATATTGAAAAGAAAGAGAGTGCATCAGAGCAGGACACAGCACAGAGAAAGACAGAGCGAGAGAGAGAGCAAAGGAGAGAGAAATATGGCAAGATGAAAATGAAAGAACAAATGAACAATGATAAGATGGAGTGAAACACTGATTTGAACATGTGTGTGTGTGTGTGTATAGAACAGAGACATGAATCAGAGACAAACACACTGAGGTGAATCAATAGAAGATTATTTCACGCCCGCCGTGTAGCAGCTCTCAGCGAGAAGAACAGCTCGGCTGATGATGGGGTGAGACCAAGCGTTGGTTAATTAAAACGCAGCCCTGCCTGACCTTGTTGTCCCATGTGGCCTGTGGTATACACACACTTACACGGATGTACACGTCCACACAAACCAACACTTGCACATTCAAACTAACTTTCTCTTTCTAGTACTTGTAAACTCCCTGTCCTGATACTTATTAATATACAAACACAACCAGATTAACATGGAAGTGCACCTCAAGCTCTCCTGCACTGCCTGGAAAACACAAACAGAGCATGTATGAAAACATGAGCTGTTGGTTTTGTTAGCTAAAGCTGCTCTAATCAATATATTTTTTTTTTACAATAGATCTCATAAACCTTATGTCAATCTAGGTTGCTTGAAGGGTATTACTTCTTTAGAAAAGCTTTATGATGCCTGCTTATGAGTTTAGCCTGGTCCCGCTTTTTCTTATTGCAGTAAATTAAAAAGCTGTAAAACTTCCTGCTTAGCACCAAAAGACCAAAAAGAAAAAGTGATCAGTCAGTAAGAGAAAGTAGAGGAAGTTAGCACTCGCATTTATTCTGTCGCCCTTGAGCACCAGCATGAAACCAAAACAACTTGCTCTGCATTGTTGTGTTAGCATGCTAATGCTAGTGATCTTTATTATGCTCGTATCTTCACACTGCATGTAAATTTACCTGAAATGAGCGTGATCACAGTTAAGCAGTGAGTACAGTATGTTATTCTTCTTTTCTCTAGTCCCTCAATTAAACAACTTTTATACGTGAGGGGAGGAGTCAGCCGGCCGCCCGGGCGATGTAAACAAAGTGAAGATAGGACTCTGAAAACTCTGAAAACATCACAGTGGGACTCAGGTGTTACACCCATTGTAGACAGTCATGACTCACAGAGTTATTTTCAGAGGATATACTTGATTTCTATTACATTTAAGTGTGAAAAATCACATATAAAGCCTTTAAGGGCTAAACATCTGGTTTGCATTCTCAAAGTGGACAAAAAAGAAAACTCCAAATGAATGCGAATGTTGTGACTTATCCGTTGGAAGTAGGGGTGTAACAGTACACAAAAATTTCGGTTCGGTACGGTTCCAAGTTTTGAAGCTTCGATTCGGTACATTTTCGGTACAGTAAAGGGACCTGATGCAACACTTTTTTTTCTTCATTAGGAACACTTAGAATTTCCCTTTTTCCACATTGGGCTAAGTGCAGCATTGACAGTTCAGACTTGTACACCTGCTCATGTTACTTTTTAATAACATTTTAAATTAGACATAAACATATGCTGCATCCTTCAACCAAAAGAGTCTCCAATAAATAAAAGATATGAATGAAATAAAATATTTTAGAATGAAATGAAGGAATTAATATAGCCTATATTTAAAAGTATTTCTTTTAAATTACACTTCCACCTTTTAGTTTATGAAGGCAACACTTTTTTGAATGCCCTTTGAGCACATAATAAACCTAATCACATCTGGGACAGTATAGTTTAATCGCAGAATTATTAATATTTCCCTCTGTTGATATAAGAACTTCAATGGCATTTGTTATGTCTTTGGCCCATTCAGAATTACTAGCAAAAGGTTTTCTGTTGGGGAGGG